GGGTCTTCCGTTGGTGAAGCCCAACTGGAAGCAAGACGCCATGGAGCCTGGTTGATGCAAATGTGGGAAGGAGTGAGGAAGGGGTAGGAAATGGGTGGGGACAGGGCAGTGACAGGGATACCCTGCACACTCGTTTGGTTTAGTCACTCAGGAGGAGGAGATTGGAAGTTAATGTGCTGCAATGTGGCGCCCTCACCACAAACGAATGGGACGAGAGGCAGCCCGAGACAGAGACGACCATGAGGAAAGGCTTATGGGGTTTTAGCACAGTGATCCCAGTCCCCATCATGGAGGGACAAATTGCTCTAATTAGCTTCATAATTCCAAGGTAAACATGTGCACTCATAAAGATGACTCTGAATTACCAGCAAAGGGTTAAATGCAGCCGCTGCACTACTTAACAGAGCTTTAACTGGGCAGGGAAGATTATAACACACTGGAGAGATGTGCCTCCTTCCGAAAGAAGCACAACAGGGCTTCCAGTTAAAGACATCAGGTTACTCACATGTCCCCGTCTTCTTTCTCTCCTGAAGTGCCACTAAAATGCCAGTCAGGAAATAAAACGGTATACTGGGGAGAGGGGTGAAACAGGTGACGGGGATCAAGGAGGGCACTTGTGATGAGTACGGAGTGACTTATGGAAGTGTTGAGTCACTATATTCTACACCTGAAACTAATATCACACCATATGCTACCTGACTGGAATTTAAATAAAAACTTAAAAAATAAATAAATAACAAATTAAAAAAGAAAGAAAACGGTATCAACCCTCAAGAGCAAAGAGAATGGTGAAGGAGACACGGGTGGATGAGATTTGAGTAGACTCCAGGAAGATGGAAAGCAGATGGAGGAATGATGGCTGCCATGGAGGAAGCTAGTCTCCTAGGGCCTGCGTACGGGGATGGTGACAGGAGGCCAGCCCCTTCACCCCCGGGACCCTGCTGGAGCTCAGACCTCGGGGAAATTTGGGATTATGAGGGTGGGGGTCAGGCATAGGAGGCAGTGGGGTAAGGAATCAGGGAAATCCTTCTCGAACCCACCCCATGCTCTGCCCCACGCAGCACAAGACTAAAGATCCTGAACAGGACAGATGGAGGCAGAAGAGATGGCGGATGAATGCAAGGATGCAAATGCGGGACAAGGGCAAAGTCTGAAGACTGGACAGTGAGCTTCAAGGTCTCCATGCCTCACCCCCCACCCTGCCCCAGGCATATATCACCCTGTTCTGGCGTGTGGGGAATTTAAAACATGGCTGCAAATTTTTTGACACATCTTCCACTGAGAAGTGGGTGTCACTCTCCTTCCCTGACCATGGGTGGGCCTTGTGACTACAGTGGTAAGTGATGCCATGTGACTTCCAAGACCAGGCCATGAAGGACCATGCAGGGCCCATATTGCTGGCTGGAGCATTCACACTGGAGCTCTGAGCTACCACATCAGAGATCCAACTACCGGGCTGGATGCTAGAGACGCCGTGTGCCATCTCTCCGGTCACCAGTCCCAGCTGAGCCCCGGCTTCCTGCTAGCCCTGCCAAGTGAAGAACCGTCTAGGAAGTGCATCCTTCAGCTCCAGCTGGTCCAAATCCCAGCCACTTGAGCCTTTGGTCATTTCGGCCACCCCAACCTGGGCTTCAGACATTGTGGAGCTGTGCCTTTTCTGAATTCCTCACTTGTAGAATAATAAAATGGCTGTTGTTTATGCTGCTAAGTTCTGGGGTGGTTTGTTATGCAGTAATAAGTAATGCGAACAAGAAGCCAGAATGCTTCTCTTGAGAAGGGGAATGGCTTAAGTAGTGGTTCTCAATGGGGTGATCTTGCCCCCCAGGGTACATTTGGCAATGTTTATAGACATTTTTGGTATCACAAGTCTAGGAAAGGCATCTGGAGGTTCAGTGATGCTGCTAAGCATTCTACCATGCACAAGAGCCCCTGACAACAAGGAATTATTTGTACTAAAATATCAATAGCACCAAGGTTGAGAAACCTAGCTCTAGAGAACAGAGTCTGACATTTAGAGGCTTGTTAACAAAAAGACTGGCTTGCTCCTGTAGCAAACCCCAGCTTATATGTTGTCCCCAAACATACAGTTTAATTCAGGTTTTCATTGCTTCATTCATAAGTATCGACAGACAGCCAGGATATTTGACATTTGAGAAAAGCCTCCAACGTGAAAGAGAGAAAACAAACATGCAAAAGGCACCTAGGTGGAAACAAAGATAATAAGGAGAATAGAAGAATATTACAACAAAACAAATAGAAGAAAAATAAACAATGCCTCTTCAGAAAGATAAGAGGGCAAGAGTATATCGATAAAACAAGAACACGATCCTATGAAAAAAGGCATGGAAGACAAGAATGAGTAATTGTATATTAAAACTATGAAAGCTGAAATTAAAACAACACCAGCAGCAGGGTTGGAGGAAAGAGTCAAGTCAAGTTGCCCAAGAAAGGAGGCCCAAAGGCAAAGGGTAGGGAAATAGAGACAATACAAGAAAATCAGAGCGAGTAAATCCAGTAGGTCCAACAGGTAAAATAAAGGGGAGAAAATTATCAAAGATGCAAAATTTTTTTCCTCCAGAACTCAAGGACACACAACACACTACTTAGCTCAGCAGTGGAGAATACCTCTACATTCACTACTGGGTTATATTCTTACTGGGAGATGGAGGGGAGAACTGGAAGTGGCTTTGTAGGAAAGCTCAATTCTTGTCTCCCCCAAGACGTCAACAGATGTCTAAAATTGGTAAATCAAGAAATAACAATATAAACAGAAATAGAAACTAATGAAAGAGTTGAAGGAAGAGGCTACCTCCAGAGAGAGCGGGACCGAGGAAGCTAAGGGAGGGGGTTTTTATTACCAGCCCCTCTGTACTGTTGATACAGAAACCATATGCATGCATTTTTTTGATCAATGTGATAAAACAGAAATTAATGTAAAATGAGTACAGTTAAAAATTGCCATGCAATGGGATTAAGTTTGATTATTTGGAGAAGTCACTTGCATGGATGACCATGCCCCAAGAATGCTGAATAAATTGGCACCCTGTTAACATGGGGGAGTTTCTCCCGACCTCATTGGCCAGGGGAGGCAGTTGGCGCGTGGGGTGGGGGCGGGGCCGGAGCCGGCAGAGCAACCCCAGGGCGGTCACCGATCACTGGCTCCCTTTCCCAGCTGGCTGTATTGGCTTGGGAGACCCTGCTCTTGAGCGTGGATCCCGCCAAGGAGCCAAAGAAGAGAGTAGCTGGTCATCCTTTGAGGAACTGAGGGATTCACTAGGACTTCCTGCCTCTCCTACTCTGGGCCTGGACAAGATGTTGGGTTTCTGAAGGCCCGGGGCCCCTCTACTGATGTGCTCAGCTGCCAGAGGGGGCCGCACACACTCATCCTCATCTCACGGGACAGATGTGCCTTGAGTCACCATGTCTCCTGCCAGGAGCTCCCCAGGAGGGGCCAGAGTGGGGAACATGCCTGTAGGGGCTTGAGCCTTACCTTCCAGTTCTTTCTTTCACCCACTGCCCTTCCTCTTCCCCTCCTTCCTGCCCCCCCCATTCCCCCTCCCCTGGGGGCTGCACAGCTGGTTTGCCTGCCAAATGCCTGGCAGGTTTTTTTTTCTTTTAACCTTTTCAATTGTTACTTCCTTTTAAAAATTACATCATGATTAAAATAAGTAACATGTATTCCTTGTAGAAAAATAGGAAAATTTTGAAAATCACCCACCATTCTACCAGCCAAATAAAACCACTACTTGACTATGAATTTCTAGAACGTGTCCAGGATTATACACAAGTAGAAATACTACTGGTTCGCACCTCATCTGGGTACCCATCTGCTGAGCACTCAACACAGGCAGGACCCTGTGCCCAGGCCTTTAGATGTGTTAACGCCTACCAATTCTCGCAACTCTCTGAGACTTGTGTTATTGTGCCCATTTTACTGGAAAGAAGTAGGAGCTTAGGGAGATCCCACTTGCCTGAGCTCTCACACGGGTTAAGAGACTGACCTGGATTTCAACCCTCCAGCCTGAGTCCCAGGCCACTTGCTTTGCATGTTTGCTGAGCTTTCTACATTTCTTTTTCCTTTTTTTTTTTTTTAACTTAGCAATATATGCAAACATCTTTCTTGCCTGTAAGTATACACCTAGGTCATTCTGCTGTATGACACGTCCTCGTGTGGATGTGCCAGATTTTAAAGGACCAATTCCTTTTTCTTGGGCTTTTCCACTGTTTCTTTTCTTTTCTTTTTTCTCTTTTCTTTTCTTTCCTTCCTTCCTTCCTTTTCTTTCTTTCTTTTTTGTATTATAAAACAATGCAGTGACAAATTATCTTTGTACACACATCTTTGCACAACTGTGATTTTTTTCCTAGGATAAATTCCAGAAAGTGGAATTGCTTGGTCCAAGGCTGGACACATTTTTAACACTGTCTCTTTTCAAATTACATCAGCAGCACACATAGCTACACAATTCCCCACATCCATTATTTACTGAGTGTTTTCACTCTTCAGAATTTGGACGGTGATTTAACACAGAATCAGAGAATCCCTATGCAGGAAACATCCTGTATTTCTCTATATCTAGATCCAAACCATCCTTGCTTTAAAAAAGAAAAAATGCCCAGGACACCCTGACTTCAGCAGGTCTAGCAGAAGAGCAAGGGGTGACGGGAGAGAGGCCTGGAGGGAAGTCAGGAACGCAGAGCAGGAGGGCCAGGCTATGGGCACAGCCAACTGGCTTGGGGGAGGTTGCCCTGTTTTCCCAAAGGAAGCACAGTCTTCTTGGGTCTAAAGACCTTGCAGCCACTGCTGATGATCCACTGCTGAGTACTGAGCTGTCCTCACCGTCCTAGTACCCACACTCTAGCCAGGAAGTCAAGACGAGTCCCCCGAACGTTCACTTCATCCAGGTGCCAACCCTTTCAATACCCTGGTCTTCCTTGAATACTTTTGAAGGCCTTGTAAGTTGGGAAGTCCCAAACTAGACACAGTCTTATTGTTCTCTTACCTTGATGCTGTCTCCCTCCAACAGGCTGTGAATTCTGGCACCTGGAGAAGAAAAGGAAAGTAAGTGACTGAGACAGAGCCCTGAGGGCAGGCCTTGGGGCAAAAAAAAGGCCTGGATGGAAGTTAAGTGGGGCCCCTCTCATCTGTGGTGAGCTCTGCAGAAGCCACCGAGGTGTGAGCTGGTGGCATGCTGGCCCACATCAGACGCGGGCACCGTGGCTTCCACACACGGACATTCTCCACTGGCAGCATTTCTTTCTCACTCGGTCCATTCATGCTCCTATGCTGGCAGTAACCCCAGGGCTCTTTCCACCATGTCTCAAGGTCTTTTATAAACAGTAAATCATCCTTTCGTGTATTTTGAGTCATAGAGCCCATTCATCAGGTATTTGCCGAGCACCAACTACATGCCAGGCACTGTCCACAGGCTCTGGAGATACAGCAGTAGACTAAAGAGACAAAAACCCTGCCCTCATGGAGCTTGCATTCTACAAGGGGAGACCAACAACCAGAGAAAGAAAAACATACAATATATAGGAGTCAGAAGAGGAAAGCGTTCTGGAGAAAGAAACAAACAGGAGAGGGGGGAAGGGAGTGTTGGAGCAGGTGGGCAGGGGTACCGAAATTCTAAATAGTATGGCCAGGGAAAGTGAATTATGAACAAAGACCTGAAAGAAATGAGGGCGTGAACCCTGACATTTAATGGGGAAGAAACTTTCCAGGTGGAGGGAACGGCATGTGCAAAGTCCCAGAGGTGAGAGAGGCTGCCTGATGTGGTAAAGAGCATTGGGGATGGTGGTGTGGCCAGAGCAGAGTGAGTGAAGGGGATGTAAGAGAGGGGAGGGGGTGAGAGAGGCGGTGAGGTCCCGAGCATGCATGGCACCAAAGGAAGATCCTTGTATGAACTTGAGCTTTGACTCAGATGGAAGCCACTCGAGAGTTTTACACAGAAAAGTGATATGCCGTGACACACATCTTAACAATATCACTCTGTGGGCGCCTGGGTGGCTCAGTTGGTTAAGCATCTGACTCTTGATTTTGGCTCAGGTCATGATCTCAGTGTCATGAGGTCCATCCCTGCGTCAGGCTCCACGCTGGGCGTGGAGCTTGCTTCAGTTTCTCTCTCTCCCTCTCCCTTTGCCCCTCCCCCGCCTCTTAAAAAAAAAAAAACCAATATCACTCAGGATGCTTTGTTGAGAATAAATTGGGGAGCACAGGTAGAACCAGTTAGGAGGCTACTGCAGAAATTCTGGCAAGAGATGACGGTGGCTTGGACTAGAGAGGCAGCATGGAGGTATTGATATATGGTCAGATTCTAGAAAGTAGAGCCAACAGGATTCTCTGATGGATTAGAAGTGGATTTGAAATAAAGAATTCAAACAGGACTCTGAGATTTTTGGCTTGAGCCAATAGGAGACTAGAATTGCCACTACCTGGCTTGCATTATCTCCATGCTGATGGAGCATGTTTGGGGGGAAGATAAGGAACTTAGTTTTGGACATGTTAAGTAGGAGATGCCTTTTAGACACTCAACTGGAGAGGCCTGTAGGCAGGTGGATATATGAGTTCAGGGGAGAGGTCCAGGCTAGACATGAAGATTTGCAAGTGCTCAGCATGTAGCTCTCTAAAGCAATGACAAGGGATGAGGTCGCCAAGGGGGTGACTGTCAATAGGGAAACTGCCTAAGGACTGAGAGACAGTAAAGGAGACTAAGAAGGAGTAGCAAGTACAACAGGAGGGAAACCAGGAGAAAGGGTTTCAAGGAGGATGGGGCAATCCACTGTGATAGGTCAAGTCGTGTGAGGACACAGGATTAATCACCGAATTTGGCATCTTAGAGTCCCAGGTGATCTTGGTCAAGGGCAGATTCAGTGGAAGGGTTGGGATGACAACCTGACTGCAACAGGTTCAAAAGAGAAGAGCTGAAGTCATCAGCCTGGTGGCAGAGTGAGCCCTGGGAGCGAAGCGGGAAGGGATGATCAGATTAACTGCTTCTACCTGCTTCCCTACTGTATAAAACGTGGCGCACCAAGCTGGCATCTCCACAGCCCGTATCAGTGGCAGCCGTGGTTACCAAGCCGGACCGGGGTCTGCAGGTTGCTGAGCTTCAGCCAGCTGGCCCTGTGAGCCAGCTATCTGCCTGTTTCTAGACTCCCATGAAGGAGTTCCCATTTTCTCACTGGCCCCTGTCGCTTTAGGATCAATGCCCAGAGCCTGGGGCTGCTGAGTATGTCCTCTGCTGCTTGCAGACCAAGACCTCACTCGGGCCCCTTCTCCTGATGGGAAGTCAGAGGGAACAGGATAGGCAATGGAGCCTGCCTCATGGAGGAGGTGATGGCCGAGAGACAGATGCCGACAAACGAAGCGAAGACGAGGCGATGGGGTGGGGAGGGGGAGAGCAGCGTGGGAGGGGCCTCGTTCGGCCAGGCTGTGGGGTCAGGGGGGCTGTCTGGGAGCTGGTGCCTGGCTAGTTCTTGGCGCGCTGGCCCCTGCCCCACCACTCTCAGGCTTCCAAGTCTCCCAGAGCTGGCCAGGGCCTGTGGTCATCTACGTACAGTGCCAAAAGGACACATTCTCTTCCTCTTCTCTCTTTAATATATCCTGTGGGATTTTCTCTCCGTGATTACAAAAAAACATGCATTTTCACTGAAGGAATTGGAAAATATTGAAAAGAGGAGGAGGGCGCCTGGGTGGCTCAGTTGGTTAAGCGACTGCCTTTGGCTCAGGTCATCGCGTCCCGCATCGGGCTCCCTGCTCAGCGGGGAGTCTGCTTCTCCCTCTGACCCTCTTCCCTCTCGTGCTCTCTCTCTCTCATTCTCTCTCTCAAATAAATAAATAAAATCTTTAAAAAAAAAAAAAAGAAAAGAGGAGGAAAAGAAATCATTTACAATTCTACTACCCAGAGGCGACTACTGCTCACACTTGGTATGCATCCTTGCAGACATTTTTCTATGCATACACACAGAGTTTTTAAAAATGAGATCGAGTTGGGGGTGCCTGGGTGGCTCAGTCAGTTGAGCGTCGACTTTTGATTTCAGCTCAGGTCATGATCTCAGGGTCAAGATCCAGCGTCAGTGGGGTTGGAATCAATTGGGGCTCTGCCCTCAGTGTGGAGTCTGCTTCTCTCCCTCTGCCCCTCCCCTACTCCCACGTGCGCTCTCGTTCTCTCTCAAATAAATAAATAAATCCTTAAAAAAAACGAGATTGGGTTGTCCATTCTGTCCTGTGTACACTGTTTTAGTCATGAATTTTGACTGAACCTATCATAAGCACTCTTCTGATGCCATTTAATTTTCTTCCACGTGATGATTTTAATGACTGCACAGTATTCCACTGAATGCCTACTTTTACCATACTTTATTTAATCCCCAAACATTGGCCATTTAGATTGTTTCCAAGGGACTACCACTAGGAGTAAATGCAATAATAAACAATCCTGCATCTTTTTTTCTTAGTGGGGTAGGTTTGCAAATCCCTGATTGTTTTCTTGGGGTCGAGGAAACCGTCGCTGGCCAGTGGGAGTGTCTTGGGTCTCATGGCATCAAGAAGCAACCTGAAGCTGAGGACAGAGGAAGGGCAGAGCTGAGCCTTGTACCAAAGGAGCCAGAGTTCACTCAGATGCCAGAGGCTGATTTTATCCTTAGATACACCCTGGTCCTGAGTTTTCCTCCCTTGAGGACCTAAACAATAGGAAAACAATAGGCCCCTCTCTTAAACCCAGTGAAATCCAAAGGGATTCCCCACCTGAGCCAGGAAGAGGGTGTCTCCCTCTGACAGGAGCATAAAGAGTACCTCCATCTTCCCTTGAAATCCCCCTGGGGAAGCTCCCCCTTTCCATCCCTCCCTGGGGAAAATATCCAAGTGGTCAGGCACTCAGCCTTTTGGGCAGCAGGGCTGCCAGGGAGGGCTTGGGACACAGAGGGTTCTAATAGAAATAGCAGCTCCTCTCCTATCTCTGACGCAGCCTTGCTCTAGAATCCCCGAATTCCCCAGAAGGGCTGGCAGGGGCAGTCTGTGCCCCACATGAGAGGAGTGTCCTGGGGAGCAGGGAGTTTTGGGGTGAGGTGGGAAAAGCACAAGCCCAGGAGGCCACCAGACCTGGGTTTGAGTCCCAGCTCTGGCACATTCCAGTCTCATTTTGGGCAAGTAAATTCACCTATGGAATGCAAGGTCCAGAAGCAGGGAACTTGGGTCTGTTCTGTGTACTGTTATATCTGCAACACTTAGCATGTAGTAGATGCTCAATTAATACTATGCCAAGGCAATGCATGATCCTTTCTAACCCTCAATTTGCTTATCTATAAAATGGGGATGATTAAACCTATCTCATAGGCTCGTTGTGAGGACTAAAGAAAACATGGGTAAAATATTTAACATAGATAGTGTCTGGTGTTCAACAAGCACCAGTCCAAAGCCCTGGAAAGTTGCTTCCATGCTCCAAACCCCATGGCAGCTCTACAGCTTCCCATTATTAGATAGAACTAGTTTGCCTCCACTCTGCTCACTGTTTGTGCCCCAAACAAGCCTCCTGTCTGGTACAGATCATACAGTGTGTGTGCTTGTCCACCTCCCTTGTTAGGCTTCAAGGCAGTTTAAGGACAAGAATTTTGCTTCTGTATCCTCTGTGCCTCCAAACAACACTATGAAGTAAGCAAGGTCATTATCAGCATTCTACAGATAAAGGAAGCTGAGGTTCAGAAAGGTTAGGTGCTTTGCCCTAGTCACATACCAAGGGAGTCGCAGAGTAATATCTAAATCTGCTTCTGATTTCTGGGTCCCTGCTCTCTTGTAGGTGATTCTCTTGCAAATGGCATTGGGGGAGGGGGCGTAGGGGGAGGAGGAAGCAAGCCAGTTTCCCTGTCCCTGAGGGAAAAGGGAGGCAGGATTTCAAGAAAAAGGAGGTCTTTAGGAAGTCAGCAGGGCACTGACAGTCACCTGCGCCCCGGTTCATCTTCCTGTGGATAATCATGTATGCGGCAGCTGTAATCCCCAGAGACCTGCAGTTTGACTGGTCTGGGGCAGATCGATGCAAAGCAGAGGTC